ATTGAATGAAAGATTAATTAATATTAAATTTTTCAGGAATATTATGTACGTGTACCTTCGAGGAGAAAATACTCTGTAAATCCCGCATTCTCCACAGTTTTCGCCGCTGCCAATCCTGCGATTCCTGCGCCTACTATCACGACTCTCGTTCTTTCCATTTTCTCGCGCTCGCGTCAATCTCTATCCGCAACGCTTGGTCGAAATTGTCAATCGTCAGTTGATCTAAGCGATCGCACGTTCTATGTCATCCGAAGAAATTAGTCTAAATCTTACAATTAGATAAATACACACAAATATATACACATATACACGGTGTATTATCTCCTACGAGTTTTAGTACCCTAACTTTCTATTCTATAAAAGCTACGTATAAGTAAACTGCACTATTTATTTGAAAATAGTCTCGCCTGTAATAATGGTCTATAACAAAAGACACGAATAATAAATACATACATAATAAACGCAATAAATAAATAAATAATAATAAATACGAGTAGTATTTCTCTCACTAATAACGTTATGACATATGTAGTTCATGTAAATTATATTTTCCCTTTTACATCAATTCACACAATGTTAAAATTTACATTATTATAATGGACAAAAGGTAGTTTTATACAAATGTTTACATATTTTATACAAATGTTTACTTCTTACAAACAAGTACCGTAGTCACCCATGCCTTAAATATATTCGCTTGTTGCCAATATTACAAATTGTAAAATATTTTTAGTTTCCGTAATCCCGTTCATTATAAGGGTGTAGTTGTAGAAGATGTAGCTAGAGGTGGGCGTTTAATTGCCTAAGAAAAAGCATGCATCAATGTAAATATAATTGCAAAAGTATTATTGTGCGAGATTTTTAAAGCTGATATATTTAAAAGTAGCAATAAATTAAGCAGAGAAATCTACTTCTATTAAAAAGAAATTTCATATGAAATAAAATATGCAAACATTAATAAGCTAGACATAATAACGTAATACAACACAACACGAGATCATGCAAAAATAAGCAGAAAGGATTATATTATTAATTTATCATATTAGATATGATTCCACAAGGATACATTACATCCTTTATAAACTAAATTTTACTTTACAGACCATTCTCTTTTTTTCATTTAATTTTATTAAACTGGAAAAAATCCCAATTTAGTGAAAGATATACTATAACAGTTTTGATTTAAAAAAATTAAGAATTTTGTGGCAAAAAATGTTTAAAGAATCGATTTTTTCGCAATTTTTTAAAACATATTTGATTAAGTAAAATAATAATTAATCAATGTGATAAAAATGAATGCTTTAAGCGTTATTATAATATTGTATTTATTACGCTATTGATATTAAGCTTTAAATGAATTTCAATCGACATAATCTTATTACCTTTCAAAGTTGATTAGTCTATCCGCTTCGTGGAAACCAGTTTCCACGGCGCCGTGCACAGTGGAATAATAATAATCGTGCGTAGCTTCTCCAGCGAAAAGAATTATCTAATCATGATTAATTTTGTCAATGTCAATAGTCTTTCTTTTACAATACGATTTAACTTATATAAGATAAAACTACATGACAAGCTAAAAGGCTAAAAATAGAACATATCTTGAGTTGTTGACAAAATGAAGAATCAACATAAAACGATGAGGAGACTAACTATAATGTGTCAAATAATGAAAAATATTATGTTATCTTTATTTTGGGATACATACAGGTTTATTTCCACTCATAACTGGTTCAGCCAGATCTCTCGGCTTTACATCCATTTGTTCGGAAACCATGCTTTGGAAACTATACGAGCCTTGAAAATGTTCATCGGTGTACCATTTAGATCTAAAAGTTTAAAAAAACAAGGCAATATAGTAAGGCCATAAATTAAAGCGAATCTAATTATTTTCCTTTCAATCAGTTCCAATGGAAAATTAATAATAACCTTAATATTCTCGTTGGTTTCACAACATTGTAATGTTCTCCCAATGATTTATTTAACAATAAATACAATCCGTCGTATACGTCAACATCCGATAAGGTTTCCATGTGTCTCGCGTTTTTTCCAGTTATCCAAGCACATAAGAGATTCGGTTGATAAGCCACAGGGGCAAACGAGTACACGTCGCAGAGCCACTCGCTACTCTAAAACAGATATTTGACGAGATGAGTAAAAGGATAAGGAAAAAATCGTCAAAATTGATTTTCAAACAAATTATTCGTTATAATCTGCAAGCTTAGATAGGCATTCGGAAACATTCTTAGATTACACTCGAATATTTTTTTACTTGACCATAGTTTTGCAAGAATTCCTTTTTAACTTTTTCTGGCCAGATAAAACCAAAGTTGCCTTTATCCTCCGGCCACCATCTATGCGGAAATTCAAGGTAAACCTTGTTCGCTGTTCCAATATTTAATCCCTACGATATAATGATATTAATTAACATCAACATACACATAACATGCCATTTTATTTTACAGTACTGTATTGTTAATAAAACCTCTATTGCCCGTTGTTTCTTCTGCGATAAGGGTGGCACGAACATTATAGAATGTTTCTCCTTCAGAACACCTAGAGACCCAGTGAATATTACATGCCGCGTGAAATATTCGCATCCATCTCTGGTAGTCACCGTCACGTTCTCGTTTGAGCTGTAATTGATGGTTGCCACAACTTTTCCGAACTCTATCCTTTCCATCACTGGCAAGCGTTTCTCTGCGTTCGGAATATTTTGCTAATAAAATAATCACATACGCTTGATTAGAAAAAGAGATTGCTAAAATAATTGATAGGATATGTACTAATAATTCATTACTTTATTAAAACGTATTAAAAATGTAGTAAAGTATATTATACACTGAACATTAATGTAATTCTCAAATAGCGTATAATTTTAATTTCTATTTTATATATATTTTTATATATTATCCGTATATAATCTTTTTTTCTTGTTTTATCAGTAAATTAATTTTCATCCTTGCAACTCAATTTTAAACTTTTCGATCATTATTTTGTTTTAATCGAATATATATTTTAAATATTTTTAAAAGCTTCAATATTTTGTACAATAATGTTTCTAGTCGGATATTCAAGTGATTTCTTACCATTAACAGATCCAAAATTGTTTTATAGCCACGATCTTTCCAGGTCAACGCAGGATCGCCTTCGCAGTCCCAGTATTCTGCCATAGCTTTCGCAGAAACGTCAAACCATGTGTCGCCAAATTGTTCAACGTTTTCCATTTTTTCTATCCAAGCTACATAGTCAGCAACTCGAGTACGATTCATGAAAGGGTTCTTGTCAAAAGCTTCATAATATCTACAACATTAATGTGTGTGTTAATTAAATTAATTATCATAATGTA